CAAATATTGGCGAAATTTGGCCACCGCCTCAATAATTGCCAGCATTTAACGCACATAGGCAGACTAGGCTTATAACTGTGGTGACAACTTCTTAGAAGAAGTGATATGAATCACAAGGGGGTAATTTAGGATCTTTAGGGTTAAAACCTTGTAAGAAATTTAGGAATTAAAAAAAAGGTGGAAGGAAAGAATCACTCTTCCCAAGGGAGGCAACACACAAAGGATGTGACAGTCCTTTGATACAGCCAAGGGTTCTTGAATCACTCAAGAATTTAGGAGAATCACTCTCACTAAGATAAAAGAGATAAACTTTAATATTTCTGAATAAAATTTCACTTGTCATTTCTTGATAAGAATGGTTCAAATTGATATAGAAGCATTGCCATCGTAATTACAAAAGACTCAATAAAAGAAAATAAATATTAATAATAACTCATTAATCTAGGAATTGAAAACTATTTAATGGAAACAAATAAAGGCTAATAATGATCCATTAACCTAGGAATTGAAACTACTTAATGACTGATTGTATCCAAACCGTGGCAACCAAAAGTCAATCGCCTATGCACCCTTGGTCTCCCAAAGGTCGATGACTAAATTTTTAATTGGGTCCTTATTACAACTTAAAACAAAATCAAACTAAAGCCCATTAATTGATTAATCCAAAACACAATTTGGTCAACCAACAATACTTGTTGAAGAGCTTCCTTTGTTTCCCTTGCTTCTAGCCCTTATCATAGGTCATGTTCACATCATTCTCTCCCTCTTGAAAAGGATTTGTCCTCAAATCGGATTCGTCATCTACATTAAAAAGAGATAAGTCTGACAAATTAAATGTAGAACAAACATTATACTCACTTTTTATGGCTAAATAGCTTTGTTTCACTTCAAGTGTTTCACTCTTTTTTTGATCACTTTTTTTCCTCTCAAGTGTTTCACTAACGCTTTCTTTCTCTCTCTTTTCTTGAAGAAGTTTTTCTTTCATTTTCTTTTTATCCTCACATACTTCTTGTGGACTCAAAGGTTTGAGCACAATCTTCTTGTCTTGGTGTATGAAAGAAATCTTGTTGGTGAACCCGTTATGATTAACTCTTTTATCAAATTGTCATGGTCTCCCCAAAAGTAAATGACTGACTTCCATAGGAATAATATCACAAAGCACCTTATCATTGTATTTTCCAATGGAAATGTCCACTTCAACTTGTTGTCTCACTTGCACCTCTCCATCCTTACTAAGCCATTGAAGTTTATATGGCCTAGGATGTGGTTTGGTAGCTAAATTTAGTTTTGATACTAATCTAGCACTAGCCACATTAGTACAACTACCTCCATCTATGATCATCATGCACACCTTGTCATTGATTAAAAATCTAGTGTGAAAAATATTTTTTCTTTGGTTTTCTTCCATAGGTTTCAATTGACTATCAAGTAATCGCCTAATCATCAATAAATCTTCCTTTGGAATCTCTTCCTCCTCCTCAGTGTCTTCACTCTTTTCTCCCTCTTCAACCTCAGATTCACTTATATATTCTCCCTCTCTAAGAATCATGGTCTTTGTGTTAGGGCACTCATAAGCATAGTGTCCTAGGCCTTGACACTTGAAACACTTCACATCTCTACTTTTTTTAGAGGGTTGTTCTTCATATTTTGAATGAGTCTTTGTAGGAATAGGTGTAGAACTACTAGAAGTAACAATCCCATCTTTTTTGCCTTTGTCCTTCCAACTTGAAAATCCAAAGTTGGTAGAACTCTTCTTAGTCACTTCTTTTCTTTTGAGTTGTTGCTCCACTCAAATTGCTTTATGAAGTAAATCCTCCATATCAACAAACTCCTGCAACTCAACAATATCACATATATCAATATTCAAACCACCAATAAATCGGGCCATAGTTACCTCTTCATCTTCTTCAATCTTTGCTTGAATCATGAGCATGTCCATTTCTTTGAAATACTCCTCAACCCCTTTGTTGCCTTGAGTAAGTTTTTGGAGTTTAAATTTCAAGTCCCTTGCATAACTAGCCGGCACATACCGCTTCCTCATGATCCTTTTCATCTCAGTCCATGTATTAACCATTGACTCTTCATTTCTATCTCTCTCCTTTTGTAGCTTGTTCCACCAAACAAGAGCATAGTCAGAAAATTCTGTTGTTGCAAGCCTCACCTTTTGGGTCTCCTCATAATTGTTGCATGAGAAAACATGCTCTATCTTCATCTCCCACTCCAAGTATGCTTTTGGATCACTTTTTCCTTTGAACGGAGGAATGTTAAGCTTGACTCCTTCAAGCCTACTTGGTCTTGTTACTCCATCATTCATTCTCCTATTTCTCCTTTCTTTTTCGTCTTCAGGATTTCTATTCTCCAACCGGTTCAATCTTTCATGGAGCTCATTGTTATGTCGTATTATTAATCTTTCCAAATGTTGTACCAATACTCTCATTTGAATTGGACTAATTCCTGCTTCTTGATTGTAATTTTCCTCTTCTGCCATCAATTTGATGTTTAAACCCTTAAACCGGAGCTCTGAATACCAAATGAAATGAATCACAAGGGGTAATTTAGGATCTTTAAGGTTAGAATCTTGTAAGAAATTTAGGAATTAGAAAGAAGGTGGAAGGAAATAATCACTCTTCCCAAGGGAGGCAACACACAAAGGATGTGACAGTTCTTTGATACAGCCAAGGGTTCTTGAATCACTTAAGAATTTAGGAGAATCACTCTCACTAAGATAAAAGAGATAAACTCTAATATTTCTGAATAAAATTCCACTTGTCATTTCTTGATAAGAATGGTTCAGCTGATATAGAAGCGTTGCCATCGAATTACAAAAGACTCAATAAAAGAAAATAAATACTAATAATAACTCATTAATCTAAAATTGAAAATTATTTAATGGAAACAAATAAAGGCTAATAATGATCCATTAACCTAGGAATTGAAACTACTTAATAACTGTTGTGTCAACCAAAAGTCAATCAGTTATGCACCCCTTGGTCTCCCAAAGGCTGATGACTAAATTTTCAATTGGGCCCTTATTACAACTTAAAACAAAATCAAACTAAAGCCCATTAATTGATTAATCCAAAACATAATTTGGTCAACCAATAATACTTGTTGAATAGCTTCCTTTGTTTCCCTTATTCTAGCCCTTATCATTGATCATGTTCAGATCAAGAAGACAATGGGATGACCCTGTTGATCCAAAATAGCAACTATACACGTTCTGGAAGCAACGGTTTCCAATTCGAATGATATGAAAAAATCAGGCAAAACGAGTACTGAAACTTTGGTCATAACCATTTTAAGTTCTGGAAGCCATAGTGACTATAGTGATTATGAAAACTAGATCATCATTCTAAACCTATAAATTTAGATAAGTAAGAAGGTTTTGATTTTGTGTACATCTATTTTCAACAAAATTTTGAAAAATATATTTTCAAAAATAAAAAATAAAAACTCAAAGATAAGAAAAAAAATAACATGACAATTATATTTTACTAATATAATTTAACGCAATAATTGAGCTACTATTTTTTATAACGTGTGGGAGAATTCATTTAACTAGACTAATTATAATTAAATATTTTCTAAGCCACTATTAGCTTTACAACATAATTCTTATCATTCAAGTATAAATATACCAATTTTATTTTTACTTTTTCTTTTCTACAAAATATGTTCATATAAAATAAATTCTCTTACAGAATACAAATGTTGCAACACAACAACAAATTTACTTTTTCCAAAAAAGGATTTACAACAACAATTTTTTGAAGAGTTATTCAAATAATCTTAGAGAGAGGTTTGTTATAAAATATGAATTTTCCCATCTATATGTCTAATATATCTTATTCTTCAACTCAGAAAGAATCCATTATGATATTTGCATTTATATTCTTCTTTATTTAGTCCTTTTAACATATGAAAAATGTAATATTGTCTTTCCGTTTCAACATATTTTTATATAATCAATAAAGTTTATATATGTGATCACAATTTAAAGAAATTCATGCAAAATAATATTTATATTATTATTTTGAGAAATAATTTTAAAAAATAATTTAAAAATCATAAATAACTCATAATATTTCATGTTATAATGAAACTTTGGAATTAGACTTAATATAAATAAATAAAGACAAACGAGGTTGGTGTCCCTTCTTGCTTCGATTTGTCTTATTTATTTGTTTGTTTGGGAGATAGTTTTAAAACATAAGTTTATTTATTTTTTAAAAATAAAACTATATTATAATTTACTCCATTTTTTTAATAATGCGATGCATCATCAGAGAAGGTGGTTAAAAGTTGAATTTATCGAAGTAAAATTTTATTAAATTAAATTAGTATAGAGCTTTATCAAACACAAAATAAATAGAACACATTAAATAAGTTTAGTTTAGATAATGGAGTCAAATTCAATCAAAAGAGAAATCTTATTTTTAGTTGTCTAAATTAAAGAAAATTGATTTATAAACAAATTTAAACATTTTAAACAAACTAATTAACTTGTTTGTATATATATATATATATAAAAAAAAAGGTTTAATTAGTCATTACAAAGGGAGTGAGATATTAATTTATATATATATTTGCGTCAACACGACAGTGAACATGAGACAATTCACCGAGAAATCCGCAACGCGTAGAACGCTGAAAGTAAAATCCAGAAGCGCTGTCTTCAACCGTTTCATTCATCATCAAACACTGCAACGCAACGCGATCACATTGCTGTGTCCAACAAATCCAAACACGCCTCTTCAGTGCAGCACGTGCCACGTGCCACGTGTCCCACCCCTACCCTCCAAAAATCATACACGTAATAATATTAATAACCCACCAATACGCAATAGATAAATAAATAAATAAATAATGAAGAAATAAGTGCTCCTTTGATGAAAAGCCAATAAAGAAGAGTGTCACCTTTAATTTGAAGTTTTAAGCTGAAAGCGAAAGAAACAGCGCAACGTCTTCAAGGTGAGGAATAGTGAGAAAGAGAGTGGAAAATGGCAGGTGCGGGTGCAGGAGGAGGGTATGGGGACGCGAACCAGAGGATAGACTACGTCTTCAAGGTGGTGCTGATTGGAGACTCTGCGGTGGGGAAGTCGCAGATTCTAGCGAGGTTTGCGAGGAACGAGTTCAGCTTGGACTCCAAGTCCACCATCGGTGTTGAATTTCAGACGCGCACTTTGCTCATCGATCACAAGACCGTTAAGGCTCAGATCTGGGACACTGCGGGCCAAGAACGGTACTCTATCTTCTCTGCCAACTAACTTCTTTCGTTTTCCCTACTTTCTTCATTTTTAGCTTCGCTTTCAATCTGTTATCCGCACCACGACGTCGTTTCGCGCGTGATCTGATCGTCGCCGCCAAGGATCGTGTTGTAACTAAGCTTATTATGATGATCACGTTGTGGATTGCTCATTGATGAGTGGTTGAAGAACATGTGTTATGCTTAGTATCTAGAATTTACCACGAAACAAGTAAAATTCAGTCCAATAACCTTATTGGTACAAATTTGTTAAGGAAATTGTCTTGCACGAACACTCGACTTCGATGATCACCGTGATTTCCGTTAATTATGATCAAGAAAACATAATTTCTTAATGTACAATGTAGCTAATTATACTAAAATATAATTTTGTATGGTATCCTAATAGGATTTAATTCTTCCATTGATTACTTCTTTGTCTCCTCCTTCTTATGTTCGGAGAATTTTGATATTAGGACTGTAATTATGGTTTCAAGCAGTTTTTTAAGACCTTAAATAAGGTTTTAAAGTGTGGTTATAATCATAGCTGGTGTGGTCACGACTCTTGTGATACTGTCAAAAGTTGTAGACAAATATTTGTTGATATGGTTTCAAAGACCTGAAAAACCTTGACCTTGTAGTTGCAGTTATGATTGCGGACCCATTTTATGGTATTGGTTCTGTTATAATTAGTTATATCTGTTTATGATTTTAACTCATTCCTGTGGTCTTGGTTACCGAAATTATCGGGGTGCAGTTTTTTATTTTTATTTTTTTAAAAGTTTGTAACAGTATTTATTTTAGTGAAAAAAATGCTCTGGAACGAATATATGGCCACAATGCCATTGAATTGCTGTTTTTTTGTGAATGATGAGTTATTATGCAAAACTCAGCGCTATGTATAATCCCGCTAGATTTAACTCTTCCCTTCTCCTTGCTGCTTTTGTCTTCTGTTTTGCCAATCGATGCTGCTATTGTCTTCTGTTTTGTCAATCGATGCTGCTATTGTCTAAGTCATGATAAATTTATGAATCAACTTATCCGGAATTGATTCTGATACCATAAAGATGTTTCATACTGATACCAGCTGAATGAAGTTATGGGAGTGCATGAATTATTGCAGAAGTTGTTTAATGTAATATGATGTCACGTTTTACAGAGTCTAGAGAAATAAATTAGCTTAAACTTGTAAAGAAGACATAGAATCTCGTTATATTCCCCATTCTCAACTAGTCAACTAGATGTCAACGTTCTCCATTTATTGAGCTTTTAAAATAAGACCTGATTTTCCAATATGAACTACAACAAACCTTAGTTTTAAAACCGTCCACCTTGATATTTATAGCACACAGACAGAACACAGAAAAACCTATGACAGATCATCCATGGAAGTGGCTGCATGAACAATTGATGCAAATGCTTCATACTTGAAGAGTACTTTGAGTATCATAATTTTTTTTTTCACTCACTATAAATGAATTGTACTTACCGACATAATTAGTTTGGACATGTTCTCCTGTTTCTCACTTATTTGTTATGAACCATGTAGAATAGTGCTATTTTTTCTTGCATGCAAATTATGTCTATTTAATGCTTCTGCTCATTACTCTTTCCGATTATTGCTTTGGTGGTTCGAATGGTTGACTTACAAGTACATCAAATTTCAGTTTACCTGATATATCAATGGTTTATGATACAGATACAGAGCAGTTACAAGTGCATACTACAGGGGTGCTGTGGGGGCAATGTTGGTTTACGACATCACGAAACGCCAAACCTTTGACCACATACCCCGTTGGCTAGAAGAACTGCGCAACCATGCTGACAAGAACATAGTCATCATTCTCATAGGAAACAAATGTGATCTTGAGAACCAGCGTGATGTACCCACCGAGGATGCAAAAGAATTTGCTGAGAAAGAAGGGTTGTTTTTCCTCGAGACCTCAGCACTAGAAGCAACTAATGTTGAGACAGCCTTCGTAACTGTCTTGACAGAAATATACAACATTGTCAACAAGAAGAATCTAACTGCCGATGAAAATCAAGGAAATGGGAACTCCGCATCTTTGTCTGGTCAGAAGATTATCGTTCCAGGCCCTGCGCAGGAAGTCCCTGCTAAGAGGAATATGTGTTGTCAAGCATCCTGACTTTATTATTTATGATTAATTTCTATTTATTGTATCTCATGGTTGTGTTTCTTGTTACCAAATTTTAAAGGTTTGGCTCACGCTTTTTGTACATTTAAATTTAATTTGTTTGGGTTGCAGAGTAAACCACTAAAATGAAGGTAAATATAAACTGCTGCTTCTTTTTTCTTTGAACAATTGCTTGGTTCAATATATATACATATTTTTTGTTGGTGAAGTGGTTGGACTTAGAACGTCATAGCATTTGATAATGTCATCACTTGTATTTATAGTTTGACATGTCTATATTTCTCCAATGGGGTCATTTTTTTAGCACTGCAAAGCAGTCGTGAACATACGTACAAGGTTTCTTCATAAATCCAGGACCAACGCTGTCAAGCGTGCACCGACTATTCGCTTCGTATTGTGCTAATCATCAAATTTACAATCTTGAGATATGTATTTGCAGATAATGGGTTTGTCAATTTATGATTCTGATAAAGTAATTGTCAAAGAATCGCAGTTGAACGTGCAGTTATTTTAGAATAAAATGTGTAGTCCTAAAATTTGAATTAGATTTAATATGTTTGTTAGTTAGTTCACCAAAAACAATGCATTTAAATTAATTTTTTTGGTTTTGCTTTTTATTATTTATTTATTGATAATGTGACATTGCCACGTCCTTTCAAAGTAATAACAGACACAATATATCTCGATATTATCGAATCGTTAAACATTAACAGAGATCATAAGTTAATCAATTAAAAACTATTCTAAATGACTTTAAAATAACTATATTTGATCAAAATTCAGCTGAGCTCACGAATATGTAATTAGATTAGACAGATTAGATTATCTAACATATAAACATGTTTATTAGCAAAAATAATAGTTTATGTAAAAAATCAACAAATTAATATAGTTTAGAATTATAAAAATCCACTGCATAAAAGTTATAATTTTACAAAAATGACTAGATTATATTTATAAGAAAAAATAATAATTGAGAAAAGAATTCATATTTATATTATTCGATGTCACAACGGTTATTAATTGACCACATCCTCTTACCTCATGCATCTCTCATCAATCAAGCCCAATAAACAAGGTTCAAATACTAATATTAACTACACAATAACAAGAAGAAATAGAGGAATGTTCATAACTCCTGTATCTCGGGAACTTTTACCGTTAAAAAATAGAATATCAAGATATTTTACAAATTATACATAACAATTTATGTTGACTCATGGACAAACATCTTATTTTTCTTCTCCTATAAATGTTTATGGAAAAATTATTAATATTAATTTTGAATTTATGACCGTAAATAATAAACTGCGTCTGAGTTCTGTGAACAGACATTTCAACATCACATGGCCTCTAAAACTGCATAAGAGTTTACCAGACACAATTTATAAAAGCAAAACAAAAAAATAATACTATTGATACAAATATGGGCCAAAGTCTGTCTTTGAAAATAATAACTGGGTTAACATACAATAAAATTTCACTAACGTTTCATAGGTGAAGAAAAAAATCACCATTTCTGTGAATGACAAATAACAAATATCAGTTACAACAGAGTAAAGAATATCTGTTATGTAGTGTGACCTTTAACTCAGCGCGTTCCACCATCATTGTCATCATTTTTACCGTTGAACGCTTGCACAGGTTGTATTTCTTTCTCATCATTAGAGGATTCGTCGACATGCCCAGCTGAAGCATTGACATTGTCAAAACGTATCAGAAGCCTTTCAAGTAGTTCTTGGCAGTCCATTGCAGTAACCATCACAGACAATCTCGCCCTACCCTTCCAGCATCCAATGGCTATCGTTGACTCATCCACTTGGAGAGACTCTACAGCAACTGTATTTCCTACAGAAAAAACCCATATAAACAAATATGTCCATGCCAATGGGTATTAAACTTCTATGGCGTTGTGATACATACCTATACTCAGAATTACCACACAACAGCCTGGCAATAGGTTTGCTGCCTTTTCACCAAATTTGGGATCAGTAAAATCTTCAAATTTTACTTCTTTGTTCTGCAGAAGATGCTTAAAGTCTGCGGGAGATGCATGCAAAATCTGTTTGGTTATATATGGGAGAACAAGGGGCAATCCTTCAGATGATATCCGGAAAGCACATGGTGCAGAGCTACCTTCTCGTGCTGTTTGTCTTTCCTGTAAGATGACAGTATATTTCACTGGGTCATAAGAATTGATCAAAATTCATAAATGGTGTAGATTGTCCTAATACAGTCACTCGTGACATTCTAGAATGATCCAGGAAGAAATTGGGTTTGTAAAACACCTCTACATGCATTATTTACTTACTGTAACAAAATCAATCCTAAGCATCATATGTCAAAACGAAATGAGAAGACGACTTTAATTCATATCCAATAAAAATAAACATCAACATGAACTTAAAAGAATTGACTCAACAAAACAAAAAATAGAAATGCCTAGATACTAAAAACCTCATTTGCCTCTTTAACATCAACATAGACATTACTTTTACTGATCAAATTCTAACTAAATTTGTCTCACAGGACTAAATCGATCTCCTATGCCTTAACGATTGTCTGCTCACCTATGGTTTTGGATTGCTTAATACAAGAAATTATTTACTTCAACGTGAATTATTTATACAATTAGTAGCATGGAAGATAAATAAATCAATCACATAAAATAATAATACAACAAAAATAATTTTTCAATCCAGAACAAAATATACTTACAAACATCTTCAGGCCAACTGAGGTTATTTTAAGTTGTTGCCCCACTTTGAAGTTCAACTCAAGAACATCCTTGACTGACTTGGAGATATAATAAATTCTTTTCACATGATTTGTATCACTGTTTCTTGTAACAAGGTGACCATTGAATGGAAAACGCTCATTAATTCCATAAAAATCCCTTATGCTATTAATAATTGTTTCATCTTTGAAAAAGACAACAGGGTCAACACCCCTCCATTTTCCTTGAATTTGTAGTTTTCTTTTTTCTGGAACCCTCTTCGTTATGTTTTGCACATTATCAGCCACGTGAGTTTCCTTGGCACTATGTTCTTCACATGTAACGGGATCATCTTCCATATCTTCAGTATTGGGTTCATTGTCATCTAAATTTTCCTCTGAAGCTTCTTTCAAATTTTCTTCGTGTGCATATTCTGGTGAAGTGATCTGTTGTACTTGTGCATCATTGAGACTCTGGTTTGCTGGTTCTTCATATTGCTCATCAATTTTTAATTTTGTTTTTTCTGAAAATACTGAAAGAAAGAAAAAAATTAAAAACCAATGTTGGCAAGCAAAGAAAGGTCTGTGACCAAATGAACATAGACAGAAGAAATGAAAACTTATAAAAGAGTCAGAGAGAGAGAAAAACGTAATCATAATAAGAAAGCTACCTGGCAAAGGAGAAACTTTTTGCAGAACAGCAACGAAGAAGGCTCCAGTGTTCTGATCATGAGGCAATATCCTCATGCAATGCTCTAGAGGGAAATCGGAAACTTCTTCAACAGATTCAGAGATCACAGGATTCTGTACTGGTTGAACACCATCTCCAGCATTTCCATTAACACCATTAGTAACCTCTTCTACGTTAACATTACAACTACTATCAACAGCATCATGATGACCTCTTCCAGAAGGAAACATACTGGAAAGAATTACACTCCTACGAAACTTAGGAACATTATTATAAGAGACCAACCAAGAGCCCTTGTCATATACCTGCATCTCCAAAATCACACATTTTAAAAACCTGAAATACATCCAGCTACAAAACACAGTTAACCCCTTCCATTTTGAATCAGCAGCGGAACCAACAGCCTCTATTAGAATACATGTTCAAGTTGGATTGTATAGGGCAATGTCTCCAAGACAATCCACAGGGATGAGATACGCACTAAAAAATTGGCATGTGTAGGTAGGGAAGAAATTTTTTTCTTAAAATTACATATATTTTCTCCAAAATTATAATTTCTCATACAAAAATAAATTGTAAGTTGGTCATGACAAACACACCTTCCATTTCTTGAGACCAGGTCGACGAATAAGTTGTGGAAGCTCACTAGAGACATCAACAAGTTTAACAGACCCTCCACACCTTCGCAAAACCTGCAACATGACAGAAAAGAGGGTGGAAAGATAAAAAGGATGAGCAGAGCTTCTCTTTATATTCTCATTTGTTGTTAATGATTTAGTTACTTCATATCATTCAAAATAAATGGTTTAGGTTCGTAAGTTTTATTGCCAGCTTTGTTTAGCTTGCATGCAATGGAATTGTAGAATTTATTCAAGAAAAACAAAAGGAATATAATCCTTTCAGGATAATATTATGATGGATAAGAATTCTTAGAGAATTCATTGTAATTTTGTTCTTTTCTCATAATAGAGATTCTTCTTTGATTTTGAATAGTTAAATTGTCTAAGCCCATTACTTCACAAAAAAAATGTAGGAGTGAAAGGGAGAGAAGTAAATTTGAGTAACAAAGGAGAAAAATCATTCTTTTGTGTTGTCAAGAATTGAAATGGGAAGAAAACTGAATAGAAACAGTATAATGCAAACAACCATGTTAGTCAATGAGAAATGGGATGATTTTGATGTAGAGAGAAAAAGAAACAAGAAAAGGTAGAACAGAACGGTCTGGCCATATTCTGCTGTTTGGGCAAAATTTGCAAGCCTGTCCTCAATTCATTTTTCTAAAAGCAAGTATATAAGGCAATTCGACAATTTGCTGATCTTATTATATCAAAGTACTTCAATGAGTAAACATAAGAACTAGCACAAATCATCTAAGTATAAAGCATTTAAAGTAGATTACCTCAGCAACCACAGCTTCATTCTCAATAGGATTCATTGAGCAGGTTGAATAAACCATTCTTCCACCAATTTTGAGTAAATGTATTCCTGAGAATATGAAAATTCTGCTGAGATTGACAAAACCTTTTTAAATAAATATCAATATATCACAAACCCTATTCATTTATACACAGCTAAGACAATTAAGAGTAGGTTTTCTTACCCCAGTAATTTGTCTTTAAAAGTTTTAGAATGAACATATTGAAGCAGTTTACAGTAATATAATATGAAATTATTCCTTGGTGTAAAAATGTCTTTCATCTTCAAAAGACACATAACAAATAAAACAACACATGTAGAAATGAGGAATGCTATTAACACAGCCCCTTGACATACTCCTTCTAACACAATATAATTTAGAAATTACAAAATCATGGCGGAGGCTTGTTAAATAAGGACTAAGGCCTAAACAAATTCGTAGTTTCCGATAAGTTTCAGTAAATAATAAGATGGTCTACAGATATTGATAGAGGGACATAAGCCTTTGGAACGTGAAAGTATGTATCAGGAGAAAAAAGAAATTGGTTTCAGCAGATATTCTTGTTATTTTTGTGCGGAACTGTTAGGCGTGGATTATGTGACAGTTATTTGTGTGCTTTATTTGGTAGTTATTTGTATTTGGGTTTGAAAGTTATTCTTTTTTCTTTGTGTTCTAGTAGTGAAGGTGGATTATATTCAGTGTGCTTTTGTTGCTTGCTGTGTATTGAAGGAGAATACTTCTCTAAAGGAAAAATCTTGTTGTGTGCCAAGAAACCTGGTCACTGAAACAAGATTCTCTCTGAAATACAATCACTATTTTATGTTTCTAAATTTTTGAGTTCAACAGTGTCATGTTTCTCTTGAGAAATTATTGGTCTGGTCCCTCAGACCCAACATAGTGCAAGTGTGTTTACTTCCAAAGATCAAGCATACGACAATAATTTAAAAAGTAAACACAAACTGGAAGCAAAAAAGTTTCATTCAAAGATCCTGGCCAATTTTTTTAAAAGAAAATGCAGAGTAGTTCATGTAAGCATGAAATTTTTTTAACCAAAACTAGTTGGCCGTTACCCATGCTATAGATAAGTCTAGTTCAGTTCAATCTATAGTCATTTCATCTGCTGCTAGTTAACAAAACTCTAACAAGCATATCATGGACTTAAGTGATCTTACAATCAGGGTGAAGGGAGGCTATCCTAAATCCATGTTCATCTAGGATATATAGTGATTAGTGAAATAATATACTGCCTAAAACAAGTGTCTTGGACAAAAGATCAACATGAGACAACCCCTCATGGTTATTAATAATTTTCCAGCTGGAAAAAATAAGAGAATGAAGATTGCACTGTCCATATACGGAAACAAAACCGCAAGACCAGTGACGGAAGGCACCAAACTATCCATTATAGAACAGAATTGAAAATCACCTCGCATAGCAATTAAAACTTGTAGGCTGTGAAGGCCATGTCCCATCCCCGTGTTCCTGCAAAAGGGTAAAATAAGTCTCAGAAAATAATAAGGTGATTGGAAAGAAAAGAAACCAGAGCTACAACCTAGAGAAAGGAATAAAACCTACCATTTTCTCCAGAGATCAGGTGCCTTACGAAGGGTACCATCTCCACTGCATGGGACATCACAAAGAACACGATCAAATAATAGTTGGCCAATATTGTGATCTAACTTAATCCTTTCATAATTCCTGTTTAATCGGCATCCTGGGAAGTGTTGCGCTTCATGATTTGTAACAATTAGATTGGCTGTGCACATTCTCTTTGTTTGGTGAATAAGAAGATTGCATCTTTGGACATCAAGATCATTTGCTATAACCTAATTATAAAAAACATTAATAAAAAATGTTGCATAAGTGGCTTGCCCAATCATCACTTGTCAAATTTATACAACTCTTTTTAGTCCAGAAACTCAAAATGCTGCTACACACACACATGATAAAAACAATAAATAAAGGGCAGAGAAACAGAAGCAACATTTTCTAATTAAAATGATACAAACCATCCCATCAGGCAGCGATCCTGCTTTACTTGATTGGTGTATAATCTCAAGCAATTGAAATGTTTTTGAGCCTGGTGCAGCACACACTGAAAAATGAAAGGAGAGGTAAATAATCAGAAACACTGAAGTTTGAATTCCAAATTAAGCAAATATAAAAAAGTGGCAGGTAAAAAAAAATCTTTATGCACTAGAAGTTGCTTACTGTCAAGCACAAAATGATCTGAGTGCACATCCAAGAAGAGGGGAGGAACCTACGTGTCCATCAACCATTAGAGTGATATTAGTAAATTCTTGAAATGTTAGAACAATAGTAACCTACGGGAACTAAAGCATTCAAAATTCTAAAACAAAATAAAATTATTCTGTTTGATAATGAAAGATTGGAAGAGTATATAAAGTGGCCCACCATACTGACAGCTTCCTGTCTTGTGATATTTCCAATCTCGTTTTCTAGCTTTAAAAATTCATGGAACCTGCAAGATATAACATCATCAGGGCAGCAATAGCCATTCCAATTTATAGTTTGGCAGTAGCATGTTCATGTATTTGGATAAATACCAGAACAAAATTGCCCAATCATTTCTCCAAGAGTCACTAGACCAACAACTGAAAACTAATTGTAGTTAAGTTAAATTTCGTTGATTTTAGAGGTTATATGTATAACCTCGGTATGTCGTGTACCAGTTAATATAATATCAATACAATAAGTTTGCAGACAAAAAAGGAAGAATGTCAGTGAAGAAAAATGGCATTTTTAGTATTGCATCATGCCATCATCATACACAAATTAATGCAAGGCCTGATTGATTATTAGCGTACGTAATTCAATACATCAATGTCGTAAAATGAAACTGAGTTTCCTATAACCCGTTTCCCAAAAAATTCAATCACGTAAATGGCTATTTAAGTTTCTGAACTTCTAAACCTAGTGTTTCTATTCTCACAATCTAATATGATCAGGCACAGTTTCATAGGATACCAAGACTCCAAGACTGAAAATAAAAAGTTTAAATAATTTTAACAACTATATATATATATATATATAGCGCAGACGCAGAAAGCTGTTACTTAGAGAGCATAAAATCAAATGAGAAATGTTCATGAGATAGTGTGGGATGACTCCTAAAGAGCTCATATTTCATCAATCGTGATAGCCACCTAACTAACTTTTTTGTTCTAAATTTCGTAGGTATGGTTGGATATCAGTACCCATTTGATGATAAACTGACAAATTTTGAATTAATCCTTCAGCGGTATTAATCAAGGAGGAGAAAAAATATACCACACCTCTTAGTACAAATAACCCTATAGCAATGAAACACATGCCTCGATGTCATAAACGCGTGCTCTATCAGTGCCACGTAAACAGATGTAACAATTCCACTCACCTCTCAAGAGTTTGATTCTTCCTAAGTTGCATCCTAGAAAAATTTGAATGCCAAGCGAAATTCCCAGGGTACCACAGCAATGGCCGAATAGCCTCAGTCTCAACCCCTTCAGCAACCTACAAGGAACAATTCACAACCAAAAATGAACGCTAGCATTATAAACAAAAAAAGAAGGAAAAAAAAAACGGTAAAAGGTAATATACCTCGTCGCGAAGAGAATGCACGAAATCATACTCCAATTGAGAACGAATGTCGTCGGAAAACTGGCTACTGCAATCGCGAAACAATACAATATTTGAATGAGAAAGAGGATACAATAGAATAGATAACAGAATATGAGAGTTTGAAATTGTTAGCGTTCGTTTACCTAGAGTTGATTCTGAAGGTTGCGGGTAATGGAGTTCGGAGAACAGCGACGAATTGTTCCCACTGTTGGGGGTCGACTATTCCCTGCTCTTTGTAGTAGAAATCGAAAGCAGCGTTCTCGGTGGCGAAAGGAGTCCACGAAGTATTGTTCTCTGTTGAAGAAGGATCGGGATCCGATTTGGAACGCTTCCACACGTTCTCTCTGTTCTGGCGGAAATGCTTTCTTTGAGTGCGGGACCTGCCTCCTCTACCACCACCACCCATTGCTGTCGTCTCTTCTGGCTTCTGCTTCACCCAGGCGGTTACGCCGTTCAGTTTTTAGTAGGGTTTTGGCAAATCGTGCAGTTAACTGTGATTGGTTTTGTTCCTCCACACCTCACCTTCATAAACTTAAGATTATTGCAATGAAAGTGTTTTAAAAAGATTGATTATGTATTTAAGATATTATTTTAATTTTATTATAAAAAGTACAAAATTAAAAACAGAACATTGTTATGAATAAATTACATCAAATAACATAACATAGTACCATGTAAATAAAATATGATTGTTATTAACAGTGAAAAAAATTACTGTTCAGGCTTATACCCATCCTAAATAATTAGGTAGTTAGTTCATAAGCTTTTTTAAATGTATTACAACAAAAAAATATAAATTCGTGTTTTAAAATATAATTAACTAATAAATGAATTTAAGCTTCTTTTATTTTTCATTTAAAAGGTCTTGTTCTAGAATGAGATTTTAGTTATTTTTTGTTTTATTTTAAATATCCAGAACCATGACTTTATAATTTAAAAAAAAAAAAAAAATATATATATATATATATATATATATATATATATATATATATATATATATATCATAAGATTAGACATGATTTTTTATTTAGTTTATTTTTTAAATAATGTTTTGTTTAAAAACGTGACTTTCTGTTTAAGAAATTGCGTTTTACGGATAGGTTTACTCGTTCATTTAATATATATTTTATAATACTTTTTAAAATAACAAAATTAAAAATATATATCTATTTTATTATTTTTGTTTATTCTTATGTATATTATTTATTATAAATTAATTAGTTTTTTTAATATTTTATTATGTTTTATTTTAATGTAAAAATATATTTTTAAAAAATTATAAATTTATTTATCAAAAGTGAATAAATAATAAATGACAAAATGAAATTCACTCTGTTAGGATTAGGGTTACGATTACAAGAGCCAATAAAAAAAAACATAGTCCTACTGAGAAAAAAATATTTGAATATTATTACGATTGAGCTAAGAATAATTATCCATCTTTAAACAATATTTCTTTCTTTTCAAACTTCGATCGAACACAAATTCTTCTCTTCCCACTATTGTCGCCAACGTTACATCAATTATCGTCGTTGTCGTTGTGCTCCATTCCTCCTCCAGTTAAAAAGATGAATTATCAATGTTTATCTTCTTCATTTCTACTTTTTTTAAAAAAATTCATTTTTTTATACTTCATTTCCAATCTTATACTGTCTGTTTTATCTTTAGATAACATAAAATATAATTATTATTTTTTCACAAGGTTATTTTTCCAATCATATATTTATAAAATACTTTTGTTATATTAATTTGTCTCTTCCTTAATTCATAAAAAAAAAATTGACAGAACAAACCTAATGTTAAAATAATTAATTATAAATATCATTTTTCAAACAACTAATTGAATTATGTCCAAGCACCGTACTAATATATCAAAGTAATAACTCAAATTAACATTTAAAAACTATAAGAATTATAACATTACATTTATCACGTTTACGAAGCACATGACAAAGCATAAAATTTACAAGACAAAAATGCAACATCAGAATTAATTTACATTTTATTTTTTTTTCGCCACATTATAGTACCATACACAAAATAGGTTTCTAAATTAAATTAGAAAATGATGCCTAAACTCAAACCTAATTGAAATGAAATGGAAAATTGAAACCTATATCTATGAAATTTAAATAAACCCTAATCCTCATATGTCATATGTTCATCATATATAGACAGGGTTATCCACGCTATAAATACCCATTTATACTATTATGTTAAAAAATAAAAGTACTTTTACTCTTACAAAATAAAATTATTTATAATTATCAATATGTATTCAATAATAAACATTATTTTGATTACCAATAGTCTCATCGCTTTCTGAACCGTGAAAGTTAACTTGAATGTATATATCCTAAATAAATAAATAAATAAATAAAATCAACATCGGTCGTATTCCTTAGTTTGTGCAGTGGTTTTAACGGATGATGATGCAATGAAAATGATAGATCACGTATTATTCAAATGTGGATTTGTCGTTTCATGATTATAATAATTGAAAAGAGACATCGCATTCCAAAATTATTTTATGTATAAAAATAGAAAGGGAAGGATGGTGCAAAAGAAAGCTACATTATTAATTATTGTTACTAGATTATAACATATCTTACAGTCTGATTTTTTTGGCTAAGTGCGAAACCACTAAACCAAGAAATCAGTAACATTCCCTTATTCCCACAAAGGCAGAGAAGAAGACAAGTTAACTTCCAAACAAAGGAAACTCATAAACCATGGCAAAGTGGTTTTGTTTGATTCCCTATCTATCTCGTTAAGGAACATCTTAATATCTTATCTTAAACTGCTTTTCTGGGAGAATTGGTGTGTAAAGTGCAACATTGCAAGCATCATCATCATCATCATCATTCACAAAGCACATACAAAATCACCGCTTGTCTCAATGTCATCGATGTCAGCATCTGCATCAATATCATCAAGGTCCATGCTGCCCCCAACAAATTGCTCACCAACTTTTGGGCCCTCACCCGGTTTCCTAGCCTCTTGAATTATGGACAGTATTTCTTCAATGCTTTGAGTCTCACGTGACTCATTTACATCATTTTGCAACACCCCTTCACCCTCATCCATAAATTCTACTGGCAAGTTTTTTAGGAACCAAGGGTGCATTTTTATCTCTGGTATGGTAATTCTCTGCTTCATCAAACAATGCAACCAAAGTTAGCATAATAAAATCTATGGTATACAAAACCTAAGCACTATAAATGTTTATGGTTGTGTTATTTCATTAAAATTGAAACTATATCTAAAATATAACGCTATTAACAAATACAAAAATAATTTTACCTTTTCTGGGTTGGCCACAAATATTCGAGACAAAAGGTGTCTACACTCTTTACTGATACGTACATAGTCTGGAATAGAATAGTGGACACTAAGAATTCTCTGTCAAAATTATCCAAAATTAATTAATAAATTGTGTGTGATTAATTAGTGATATTAAGTACACTTGGACAGATAAAGGTAACTCGTATTATTATTGGTCCAACTAACCTGAAGAGTTTTTCTGAAGTTTCTTGGGTCTTCTGGGTCTTCAAAAGGATATGCACCAACCAACATCACATATAAGGTCACCCCACAAGACCAAACATCTGCGACCTAATCATTCTCAAGGATAAGAAAACAGTGGTCAAACATTAGCCCCAAATTAGTGAAGCCACGATTACATGATTGGAAAGGGAGATTAAGATGCAAAGTTACCTTCCCATCATATTCTCTTCTTGACAAAACCTCTGGGGCAATATAGGCAGGGGTTCCTACAGTGGATTTTGGCTGGGAATGCAGAACAGATGACTGAAGAAAGATAAGGAACACCATTGAGTAATTAACTAGACTCTGAAATATTATGTTAAATGGGATTGAAGTTATGAGTTATTGCCTTTGAGTAACCAAAGTCACAGATTTTAAGTCGTGGTGCTGAGCTTCCATCTAGAAGTGTGTTTTCCAGCTTAAGATCCCTATGGCAAATTTCCTGTAACAAAATTATTTCTTCAATTCAGCTGATGAAAGCCGTAAGACCCAATTTGAAACATTCGTAGTGAAATGAACAATTTAGATTAAGTTGGACAAGAAAACGGTACCATTGAATGGCAATAGCTGACTCCAGAAATCAATTGCTGAAAGAAATATCTTGCCTATGCAAGGAAAAGAAGAAACTAAGATGAAATATCTAGATTGCTAAATACTATGTATAAAATAAAATAAAATAAAAAGCAGAGTCAAGTAATTAAATAGTAACACTGTGTTAAATGCGAAAACTGAAACTATATGAGTAAAATATGTTAATTATCGAAAGCAGATAACATGCCATTGGAAAATTCATGCACTAGTATTATATGTATTTGTTTAAAGAAGAAACAGGACTCCTACTTTGTTTCATGCAGAGTGTACAGTTGATGAAATCTTAGTTTATTACTGTTTTGGAATCTAAAAAGTTAAGTAATACAATGGCCATGTTGGACAAAAGCACTACCTTAAAGCCACTAAAGCTTTTAATATCAACTAATAGAAATTATTTAAATCTAGTCTACCTCGTCCTCACTGAATCTCCCAGCACTGCATATTCTTTCAAACAGTTCTCCCCCGGCAGCATATTCCATGACTATTGCAAGATGAGTTGGAGTAAGTAACACCTGCAATGAATTGCCATTTCATGTGTCACAAATCAGCTTGAAAGTCAACATACGTGTGTTATAGATACCAGTAATAATAATAATAATGTATATAAATGAAGAATAGCAAAAATAGATTAAAAATTTGGAGATGAAGAACATGAATATTACCTTTTGCAATTATAAAGGAGGAACGGGTGTTCCTCTTCTACAAATATTAATTCTACGTATGTACATTTTTGTGTTTTTAACAACAAAACATAATTTTTACAAATCATTTTAAAAGATTCTGGAAGGTCCCTTGAAGCAAAATCAGAAATAAATGACACTGAATATTGAGATGCCTGAGGGAACTGCATATGGTAGAGAATAAAGCTAATTATGAAGGTCAGAGAACGAAATCATGCTCCCATAATTGGTCTTTAATATTTGTTCCATTCAGGGATAAAACTGAATTTAGGACAATAGAGTTTAGGGACATATAGCACTGGATGCATATTCATTTTCGCAAAGTTGATAAGAAGTAGCCACAGAAAGCAAAGGATTTTCTTTCAGAGAAGGCAAATAACTGCACTAACACCTTTGATATTATACTCATTGAAACCAAAACGTCTCCAATTCCATACCTCTTTGAATCTAATGATATTGGGGTGCTTCAAGGACCTATGATTTATAATCTCTCTTTGCACGTGCTCATCAATCTGCAAAACCCAATAGAACCCCGTAAACTAACCACAATCCAGAGTACAAATATACAAAGTATGACAACAGAAAAGAAGAACCTTGAAGCCTCTCTCAATGAACTTGACAGCGTATAATTCACCACTCCATTTTTCCTTGACCAACTTTGCTACACCAAAGTTCCCTGACCCAATATCTTTGATTATCTCATACCGTTCCATGGTTAAGCTAGTTGAAGCTTGAATGGAAATCTATGTACGTGTCAGCAACAGGGTATTGTGCTGATTGAGGAGGTGTGAGCTAGCCAGAGAATTGGCCAATCTTTCTATGTTGCTTTTCTTATTGGACTTGTTCTACTTGTTTGCGTGTAGCATCGCATCTGTTTTATGGCCTCCAAATTCCAATGCTCAAAAGTTTGCAATAAAAGATGATTGGGTTCTGGGTTTTGATGCCCTTATTGCAAATTACAATTGGACTGTCACTGTGCCCTCAGACACAGGACTTTGTATATGAGAAATATATATTTAGTTTAGGTAGGTATAATTTATGACGGATGACATAACATATACTCTTTTCACTATTTTCTTAATCAAAACCAATCTTTATATAAGACAAGAATAAAAAAATCATTTGAAAATTATATTCAATAGTTGGAGAATTTTCGAACGATAGAAATTGTTTGTATCTTACTTTGTCATCTTTTACGTAATTGAATTATTTTTTTATATACATTAAGTTTTCTTCGATGTTAGTTCTACTTCACCTATTATTTCATTTAGATAAATAATAAAATGAATGATAATAATTATATAATAAATTTAAAGTATATAATGTTTTAACAAAGTCAAATAATAGATGTACTTAACATCAAATGACAAAAAAAAATAGTTTATTTATTAGTACAAAAATTTATTATTTTCTAATTATCATTAGATAATTAATGTGGTTTTGTATTTTAATTAGGAGTTCTTACTTTATATGTAAGAGAATATTTGATGGTTTAGTAAGATATTTTTAGTATATTTTATGATTGTAGTTTAGTATAATCTTTCACATTTTTTTTTTGTTAAAATTGCAATGTCATTTGCGTGCACTATTAAATGTGACAGATAAATTTGATAGAATTATCAATTTTTGTTTGTGACAAACTCAAGTGAAATATATACTGCTATATTCTGAATTACACTAAGACTTGAAAGAAATAACATCATGGAGTTAAGTATTCTTATGGCATAATAGTCTTGTCATGAAAAAATATTAATCTTTGTTAGCCATAATTGTGCATGGACATTAACTAATAATATTGATGTAAGATATATGGTGATTATAAAAGGACATTAATTAATATTGGTGCAGGTATACACAAAACTAATATTAATATAGGGTATGTGGTGATTTTACACGGACATTAAATATCATTGAACATTCAATCTCAATTTATATGTTGAAAATAAATTTATTTGACTATGATTAAACAAATATTATTATAAATTAATTTATATTTAAATATTTTATATAAATTTTCATTTTTTTAAATATTTATTTCTATTTGATTAAATCTGTTTTTTTAATAAACAACTCCAGCTTGTCTATAAAAGCTTTCTAAAATATATTAAAATCTTAATAAATAATTACTTTTATTAAAACTTTTTATCTGAAAAAGTTTAGACCAGAAAAAAAGACTGGTGTACGTCAATCTTCTATTAATGAAAGAAAAATAGAAATTTAAAATTTAAATGTTAAAAAAATGAAAAAATGAAAATTTTATTTATAAAGGTCAATATTTTTCTTTTCCATAAAAAGAAAAAAATTACCAATCATTATTTTTATCTTTATCAAACATACCGTTAAGAACAAAATATAGGTGTAATATTTATGTTAGTAGTAATAATATAAATAATATAATATAATAAAAGAAAAAGAATATTAACATGTGGATATATATATATATATATATATATATATATATATATATATATATATATATATATATATAGGTTCAGATTAATACTTTTCCTAAATTTTATATTGAATAGAAAGTTGAATAATAAATAAAAAATTATTTTTATAGTTATTTTTACTAAAAATTAAGAAAATGGAGAAAAGTAATTAAAGAAATAGGAAGAAACCATATATAATAACACAAACTAAAATTAAAAAAAAATTACATACACAATTCGAGAATGATGGGAGTGACACATAATATGAATATTTATGAATATTTTATAATAAATCTTAAGTTACTTAAAATTTAGTTAAAATTATTTATATAAATAGTTTTTTAAAATTTTATAGAATTTTTTCACTTTTAATCAATTGAGATATGAGATTGAGTTACGTGTGAAAATATTTATTTTTATTCATAAATAATTATGATAATTAACTTCTTTTAGAAATACTCTTAAATTCAACTTATGTAACACCTCATTTCAAATTAAAACACTTATAGTACTCTTGTATCCCACTCTAATTTTATCATTTTATCTATCATATGTATAATTGCATATAAAATAAGAGCATGCATTGTTAAAACCATGGCATATGCATTGTTTATAAACATAGAACCTCTCTCATGTCATTGTTGGTGTTTATAGGAAGACACTAACTATCTTCTTCATATATTTTGTGTCAATGAGACCTCGTATTATTCATGTAACAAATAAACATTATTTATAAAAAATTACAATAATTACATAAAAAAATGACCTCGATTTTGTTATTTTTATTAAGTTGTTATGTAACTAACCACAAATATTCAATTAAATATATATAATCACAACATAAGCAGAAAAAATTAATTATATGATTAAAATATAAATATAACTAAAATATAATACATAACTATAAGTGAGTATAAATTTATTTTCTAATACTCATGTGAATAAAATACTGCTATAATAAAATATTATATTAAAAATATAATATGGTTGAATTATCAAGTCTTAGTTATTATTAAATAATATGTTGTTGATAATTTATTTATGAAATATTCAAATTAAATTTTAAATATAAACGTTGGTGCAAATTTAATATAGTTATTTATTATGAAGTAATATTTGATCAATATAATTATCTTTTAAAATATTTCAATTTATTATTTTATGATTTTATGTTGATTTGAAAGGGTTGACATGGTAGTTAAATTGCGCTTACAAATACAAATACAACATTCATTCTATCTTCCATCCACGTAATAACTATAAAAATAAAAACAAACACAACATCAATAAAATAATCTGATTTGGAGGAACAAACCACATTTTTTCTAATAATCCAAACAAATCACTTTGAACTCACTAAAAAAAAGTTTTGACATGTCTTTTTCAAAAATAAGATTAAAATTTGGAAACGTGTTTATGTTTGTGTGAATAAGGTTGGAAATTGGAACGAAGACGAAGTGTGATGTGTGTGGATGGAATGAACGCAGAGAGGGAGATGGATAGAGAGTGGAAGCAACATTGCAGGGAGGCAAGGGGAAGGGGTGGTGGGACCAGCACTGTCTTTGGGAAAGAGAAGGTGGTGGGGCCCACAAAAGGTTAGTGTTGGGGATTGGTGGAAAGAGTAGGAAAAGAAAGAAAGAAGGAACGGTGGTGGTGAATGCGATCAGAAGAAGTAAATGTTAGTGGCTCCTTTTATTTTATTTTATTTTCTTCAAGTTGGGTTTGGGAAAGAGTGTCCCTGCAAAGGGTATCCTTATGTTTGACACATCCTTGTCATGGGTTTGTGTGACCTTACGTTTTAGAATGTCTATGATTCATTTACGTATTTGCTTTTTAATTGCGTAAACCTCTCTCTTGGTGTTATCATTCTTGTTTTTCAATTTTCAATCATTTTAAAAATTTTATATAATTTAATAAAGTTTTTATTTTTCTTTTTTAAAACCCAATATTTGTTCTAGTTTCTTTTAAAATTAAAAATAACCTCTCTTTTTTCTAATTTCTAATACCATATCTCACTAGGTAAGATCTATGAAATAAATTAATAGTTTCTATTCATCTCTTCTATGTTTTTTCATAAAAGATGCTTACATTTTTCATGTTGATAAAGTGATACTCGTATCTTTTCTTTTATTTATATTTAATTAATGTACTATTTTTAAATAAAAAAATAAACTGAATACCACTTTATTAAAATGTAAAAAAATTGTTTTATTAAAATTATAAGAATGCTAAAATTATATGAGGTTTTTAACATGATTTTAAGGAAAAACGCAATTCTTGTTAACATAGATTTTATATATCTATCTTAAAGTGAATATTAGGAATTAAAGATAATAAGTTGAAAACTATGACAAATAAAAATCAATGAAAAATAATTTACTGAATCTAAAATCAAAATTTATATATTTTATAGAAACTAAAGATAGTTATTTATATTTTATAAATTAAAAGTTTTATTTAATCTAAGAAAAAAATTAAAACTCATTAGTTTTACATAAATATTTTATTTTTATTTTTAATATAATCCACATGTATATTTTTATTTTCATAATTCCATTTGGACGGCATGATTCCAACCTAAAATGGAGAAAATTTAAAATACAATTTTTAAAAATAATTTATTAAATCAGGTTAAATACACTCTAATTCATTTTATATTTTTAATTATTATTACTGTAAATACGATTTATTTATTAATTTTATTATTGATAAAATAATTTTCGTTAATATTAAAGTTAGCTTTTAAAATCATTATGACTAATTCCTGAAAATATGTTAGATATTGTTGTTGTTTTATTAAATTATAATTATTTTCACCGAATCGAATATCATGCACGTCGATGACGATTTGGCTTTTATCACATCTAATAATTTGTGTTTTCATATTTTGAATAATTTTGGACCCGTTTGTTGGCATGAGATGAGTTGCATGTGATCACCTAAACTTCAAATGCAACATATATTATTGGCTTTCTGGTGGATTCTTCAAGTTTTTTCTTAATTAATATATATTTTTTAGAGTTCTCAACTGTGTCATCAATCTTAAGGTTTTTTCGTTTGTCTTTGAAACTTCTGAATCAACCCTAACTCAATTTTTGTCCATAAAGCCGCAATTAAAAACAATTACTGAAAAAGGTTTAAATTGAATTTTTTATCAAAACATATTTTTATCATATTTATATACATTAATTATTATATAAAATTAAGAAATGTCCATAACTATGTCTGAAGGGAGTGTTTAATAATCTGAAAAGAAAATCGATCTGGCTATATTACTATTA